CCTCATTCTCACCTCCTCATAGCATCCTCACCTCATTCTCACCTCCTCACCCCATCAATGTCTCCTCACCCCATCCACCCTTCTCACTCCATCCACACCTCCTCATTGCACCCTCACCTCCCTACACCTACACAAGGATTCTCAATGTTAGCATCTTCTGATTCTCTACCCCTCCACTCCCTTCCCCTTTGGAGAGGGAGGACTCTGAGTCCCTGGGGTCCTTGGCCTTGCTGCTGATTGTTGACGAAGTCATCCCCTTCACAACTGACATCTCTCTGGTACCCAAGGCTTCCAGAGCTTTCTGAGAGGGGCATGGACCATGCTGAGGAAATCACAGCTCAGATGGGCAGAGGATTTGCTCACAGCTATGTACTAGAGGCTGAAATCCAGCTCAGGCCTCCCATGACTCCAAACCTAGCTCTCCTTCTGTGAGGCCAAGCTGGCTCCTCCTCTCCCTGCCCTGCCACCCCATCAGGCCCTGGGCCTGCAGAAAGGAGCAGAGCTGAATGGAGGGGACTGGAGACCAGTCTGCTGGGCAGCCTGCACACCTGCACTCAGTCACATGTTCTGTTCTTTGGCTTGGGATGCGGTCCTTGTAGTCCTTGGTGCGGAAAACAGAAAGGCTGTGGTTGACATAGCCGGTCATACAGCTGCAGGACAAGGAGGAGGAGATGTGACTGTGCCCTGCTCTGTCCTGGGGAACACAGGAAGGGCAAACAAGGCTCCTCTTGCCCCCCCCAAAAATAAATGCAGGCTCCCCCATCCCCTTTGCTGGGCCAGATACGATGACAGCGAGTGCCATGCTCGCGCGTCATGAAGGAAGCTCTGCTAAGCCAAGGAGCACCTGCCAAGGGCCCAGGGCTGGGCTAGACCCGAGAACACCTGGGTTCTGTGGGGACCTGGAGCCCCGACCCCCGAAAGTCCTGCCTCTCATCCTTTCCTGAGAAAGGCTTTTAGTAACCAGGGACACAGAAGTCATGGGGCCAAGAGCTTATCTTAGTTTCCTCCTCTGGCCTCTCAGGTCCCTTTGAGCTCTGTCTGTGGGCCCATGAGTCTACAGTCCTCCCTCCTTCCACCTGAGCCAACCCCTCCTCCTCCTCCTCCTCCACCCAGGTCAGGGAGCAGGAACAGGGCCATAGGAGTGGTTTGGGAAACAGAAGGGGCCTGCTTCTGCCCACGTCCTGCTCACTCAGCTGTGACGTTGCTTCCCCGGCTACATGGCCCATAGTAGTACTTGTACATAAGACGGGGAATGAATTCAGACGTGAAAGCAATGATCATCCCATTGGTGATGACTGCCAGCACCCCGATGGCCTCAAGCACCTGCAGCCAGGTCCCTGGAAGGTTGGGGAAGGTCAGGTTAGGGGAAAGTCAAGGGATCCTCTGGGACCACCACTGACTCCGAGGAGTTGGGGGGAATTAGGAACAGGAAGTCCCAGCTGGACCCGGAGCTGAGCTCAGGGCCCAGGGCTTCTTCTCTGTTCTCTCTTCCTCACCCCCCGCCCCCCTTATCACCTACTTGAGGGTGAGTCTGAGCCTGTTCTGCCTCAGTCTCCCCTGTCTGAACTCTCCTTTCCCTGTCTACCCCACACAAAGCTGTGTCCTCTCACACCCCGCCCAAGGGAGCCAGGCAGCAGTCCACAGGGCTGCCATCTCAGGCTCTCACCAATGTCATTTGCCTTCCGGGGTACCAGGCGCCGCTGCAGTCTCACCATCTTGATGGCATCCAGACGGATCTCAATGAGGTTGCTAAAAAACGCCAAGAGTGGGGCCAGGGGGAAGGCAGCCACGAAGATGGTGGTGAAACCATATTGGACCACTAGATACCGCCAAGGGACACAGAGATGCCGCTTACCTCAGCCTCAGACTGATCACCACCCTCTCCCAGGGCCCACGGCAGAGGTGAGGTTGTCTCTCCCCTCTCCCCCATACCCTGACGCACTCATGTCCATGAACTCGTCAAACAGGCTGAAAATGTTAACTTCATTCAGGGAATAGTTTTTCAGCCATTCCTCCAGATTTGGATCATGCAGCCTCCTTCCCTGGGGCCACTCTCTCAGCTTCCGGATGCGATAAGTCAGCCACCTGGTGCAGGGTCAAATATGGGAGAGGTAGGAGATTGAAAAGAAGGGTATAGTAGGGTCAAGTATCAGGGTCCCAGGGGAGAAGGCAGCTGACCTGAGCTGGGTACTGGGATCAGAGATGACAGGTCAGCCAGGCAGGGCTGAGGATGAGGGTCCCGGGGAGGGGGCAGCCGGGCAGGGCTGAGGATGAAGGGTCCCGGGGAAGGGGGCAGCCGGGCAGGGCTGAGGATGAGGGTCCCGGGGGAGGGGGCAGCCGGGCAGGGCTGAGGATGAGGGTCCCGGGGAGGGGGCAGCCGGGCAGGGCCCCAGAAGGGCTTGCTCACGGGCTCAGGTACTCCACACAGTTGCTGACGGTCTGTTTTAGGCCCATGATAATGGCCATTTGCACAAACAAATCCATCATGCAGCCACTGGGGTGGCACTGGAGAAGGCCGAGGAAGCAGAGTCACCCTCCAGGCCAGGGCCCAGGCCCGGTTCCCCGCCCTGGCCTCCAACTCCAATCTGCCTCACTCTCAGTGATGCCCCCACTAAACTGCTCAGACTGCAGCCTTCTCTCCTCCAGCTGCCCAACACCTGCCCAGGTCCACATGATGCTACCCATTCTCCCCTCCTCCCACCTGCCTATGTCCAGGCCCGAGGCTCGACTCAGGCCTAGGCCCAGGGAGCCCTCCTTGACTACAAGGTAAGTAAGAGCCTGAGGGCAGTCTGAAGGTCTCCTCTCCACCCTAGGGAAGCCCTGCTGGCACCACATGGACACAGTGCTAGACACTTGAGGGTGAGGGATGAAAAGGAGGCCGTTGGGACCCAAAACGGACCTCTTCCAGCCTCCACTGACCACCAATCTTGACTTGATTTCCCGGGTGCCCGTTTATCCTGGAGAAAAGAAAGAAGACAGCCCAGAGGGATGCAGAGAAGGGAATGACACTAAGGAGGGAGCCCCCAGCCTCTCAAAGCTCCCCAAAGTCTCTAGCCCCCTGGAGAGTTATGCAGGTGGGAGAGGGTCCCAGGAATGCCAAGGGCACAGTGGAGACCAGGAGAGGATGAAGGCAGGATCCCAGACTAGAAGGGAGGCTGTCCACCTGGGATTGTGGGCTCATTCATCCCCTTGCCCATCTGTCCTTGCCCTCACCTGCCCAGGAAGAAGGCAGTGTAGACGAGGGACGAGAAATGGGTGAAGAGCTGGAATATGAAGAACTTGATGGTGAACTTTCTTTCTCGCTCCGAGAATGTCCGAGGTTTCTCTGGGAAGAAGAGGCAGGAGCCCCAATGGCGAGGCCCGAGAGGATGCCTGAGCCCCCAACAGAAAGGCTGTGCCAAAGCACACCCTCCGAGGAGCGGGCCAGCCTCAGCTGCCTGTCCTGGTGGCCAAAGTCAACTCTGGCCAGCCAGGGCTCAGAGCCCCACATGCTCAGGGGCCTCGAGTCACGACTGGATACCCAGAACCCCGAGATCAGGGGCCCCCAAACGGTATTGGCACCGGCCACAGCCCCTCCCCCCAGTTCCTGGAGGCTGCTTCCAAGCCTCTCTAGTACCCAGGATCCCACCTACTTACCAAAGTCACAAAGTTTCAAGGCTACCTTCTTGTTTACCTGGGGAGGGACAGGGTCGGGGCTCATCGTGGGCCTCAGGGAGCCAAGCCCCCCAGCTGGGCCCCAGCCCCAAGGCCAAGCAGAGCATACAAGAGGGAGGCCCTGCTTGGTGAATCCCTGCTATGGGGAGACTGTATTTCCCCTCAGCCCTTTGTTTCTGGATGATCAGTGCAGCCCTGGGCAGGGCAGGTCATCTCTGCTCAGCTCCTTGGCCCTCTGTGACTGGGGTGGTCAGTGCTACCCTGGAGAAAGGGACAGCTCATCCCTCCCCTTCCTCCATCCTTCCATGCACTCTTGGGGGCCCCAGTCACCTTGGTCATGACCACAATGATTATGTAATGCACCAGGGCTCCAGTGATCACTACCGCCGTGGTCAGCCGCTGCTCCAGGAAAGGCAAAGCTGAGTGGCTGAAGAAGAAGGTGACCATGACCCGATAGAGAACCAGGACGTGGGCCATGCCAATCAGCAAGCAGATCTGGGGGCGTGAGTGGCAGAATGAGTCGCCAGGGCTGTGTGCACCTGGGCTTGGTGTGGCCCACATGGGCGCCCCACACATACCCTCCCACCAATGTTTTGTGGGCATCCCCACCACCAGGGGGCCTAGAGGCATCTGCCAGTTCAGTACCTCCCCCCATGCCCAGCTATAGAGCTCCCTCCCCACCCTGTGCCCCCGCCCTGCCCCCGTCCACCTCTGTGGAGCAGCAGTACCAAGACCAGGGAAAAGATGAGGATGGCACTACTGCGCAGGTAGGAATGCTGGTGCTTCTGTAATTCATAGGCGGGGTTATTGAGCAGTTCCATGGCAAGCTCCTCCTGGGGACACAGGGGACAGCCACCAGCTGCCAAGCATGGTCCCTCCCAGGACGACACAGGCACAGGACAGAGCCAGTCCATACCTGGTCCTCGTCCCACCCATAGAGTTTCCAGCTGGCGGCGGTCCGTGCCCGTTCCCTCTTCCAGAACTCCAGAAACACAGTGGCTATCCGTGGGAGAAGGACGTGAGCATGGGGGAAGCATGGAAACTTCCTCCCCTCATCTCCCATCCTCAGTCTCGTGCACTCACCCCACAGTGCCATGAAGATGGCAAAGAACACCGTGCCCTCATTGTCAAAGAGGTGCGTGAGCTGCAGAAAAGACAAGTTGCTCCTGGGGGATGGTGCAGGCTGCCCACAGCCCAGGGCTCCATCACCCAGTCTGCTGCTGGACCCTGGGTCTTGCTTCTGGTCTCAGCTTCATTGTCTATAAAATGGACACCCCACTGCCCAGGGGAGAGGACCCGACCGGTACCTTGGCAAAGGTGCAGGTCTCTGACAGTCTCCAGTATTTGTGCTGATGGTCTTGGAGTGGGCACATGATAGTTTCATTGGCCTCACAGATCTCTTTGCTGGAGGGGAATGGAAAGAAAGAGCAATGAAGAGGCCTCACTAAACCCTCTGCCTTTCTCATCTCGTTTGCCCCGCCCCCCAAGCTCAAGGCCCCTCCTCCCACCTGATCTGGCTGGCGTGAAAGAGAGAGAAGCTGCTGAGGAAGAGGAGAACGCCAGTGATGGCCGCGGGCACCAGCATCACGGTATACCAGCCCAGCCAAGCAAAGTACAAGGCCACCTTCTCCCCAAAGTAGTTTCTGTGGGGAGACAGCAGCAGTAGCAGACTCACATCAGGTCTTGGGCCCAGACCCCAAGGGGCCACAGGTTCTAATTTTGCTAATGAGCAGACTGAGGAGGATACCCTGGCCTCCCTCAACCTTGGGCCCCCAAACAGACCTCTAATGACTCCCAAACTGAGCCCACCCACTGACTGGGGCCCCCAAACTGAGCCCCTTCCCATTGACCAGGGACCCCCAAACTGAGCCCGCCCACTGACTGGGGCCCCCAAACTGAGCCTCCCCCACTGACTGGGGCCCCCAAACTGAGCCCCTTCCCATTGGCCAGGAACCCCCAAACTGAGCCTGCCCACTGACTGGGGGCCTCCAAACTGAGCCCTCCTCCCCCTACGATGACCACGGTACCTAATCGTGTCAATTGGCTGCTTGTAGAAAATGTCTCTCCACTGGGCCCAGTTATTCCGCAGAAATTCTGCCCTCTGGGCACAGGAGTGGGTGAGAACCAGGCCCCAGGTCCCCTCGCCTCTGTTCCTCAGATCCCCCATCCCAGGCCCTTCACTCTTTCACACACCCCCCAGGGCCTCCCCTGCCCCATCGAGGAGGGACCTTCCCAGGACACAGGCCCCTGGCCCTCTTTCCTCCTGCTCTGACCAGGACTACCCTGCTCCTACCTCGTGGAGGGGAAACATGGTCTCAAACACATGGTCCTTCACCAGATCATCAAACTTCTCTAGGAGAGACAAGTCAGGGTCACAGGGCTCCCTGTCCATGCCTCCTCCCCATAAGCCATAGCCTGGAAGTGTCCTTCCTTTTCCAGGCTCCCAAAGAAGCCAAGGACCCCAGACATGCTTGAAGAGGACATTCCACCCCTGCACAGACCTGAGCTTTGAGCCCCACAGAAACAGAGCCATTCATGCCCCTTTCCACATCCCTCCCAGGAGTAGTCACAGCTCCTCTGGCCCGGGGATTGCCCACCTCTCAGTCCATTCACACAGCCCTCTCCAGAGATAATAGGACCAGCACAAACCCCTCCCAGGCCCTGCAGTGGAACCAGGACCTCCTAACTCATCTGTCCTGCCAGACTTCCTCAGAACTGGACAGTAGTCAGGTCTAGGAGGGAGAGGCCTGAGGCAGAGTTTCTCTATCCAGGACCCTGCAGCAGAGAGGCAGGGAGCTGGGGCATCTCCTTACCACCATCCACCTCCTTCTTCCTCAGGATGAAGTTAACGATGCGAATTCTGAAACAGACAGCAACTCTCAGCATCAGGAATCTTCCAAAGGGCCCATGGGAGGGAGTCTGATATTTCCCACATTTCAGAGAGAAACAGGGAAGACGTTAAACCACAGGAAAGGACCAGGGAGAAGGCTTCACAGTCTGCTCGGTCTGGGAGCTCCAGGGATCAGGGCCCTAGTCCTCTGTCCTCATGGGCCCAAAGTCCAGGAGCTCTGGGGGGCAGGGCCCTGGTCTGCTGCCTTTCTCTCCCCACCCTAGACTGAACTGCCTGAGCACAGGGTGAAAGTCTGTGTCCCCAGCCTGGGGGCTCCCCAATCTCCACCTCTGTGTCTCTCCCACACCAAGCTCCCCAAGGAAGTCCTCCTCTGCTCCCCCCACCCCCAGCACTACCGGGATTTGGGGGAGGACCAAGGCAGCAGGCTAGAATCGAGCTTTGTGGGGACTCACCGAGTGGTAGTGGGCACAGGCCCCTCAGGCAGGGCGCCAGGGGAGGAGCAGTCGGTGTCCTTCAGCAGCTCCCTGTACTGGTTGAAGATCCTGCTGTGAGCCCTGATGCCATAGAACAGCCTTCTTTTGTCTTCTACTTCCTGGGTGGGGGGGGTCACAGAGGTTGGTGCGCAGGGTAGTGGCCCCAGAGAGGGCCCCTCCTCCACCCCCATCCTAGTAATATCCCAAACCCAAGAGCCAGCCCCTCAACCTCTCCCTCACCGGGCCCCTCACCAAGGTCTGGGCCAAGGCCTCTGGGGGCCAGGAGCCCCACCTTGATAGTGAAACCTGTCTTTTCAAGTTCAGCCATGAATCTCTGCCGACGATAGTCCCGTTTAATATTTGTCTTCTGAAGGTCAGACACAAGAATAAAGTCCCAGGTGTCTGTGGCCTTGAGGAGGAAGGAAGAAAGGGAACAAACATCTATTAAGCACCTACTGTGTACCAGGCACCCTACTAGAAATCATCTCATTGGATTCTCACAACAACCCTGGGAGGGAGGTGCTATTCTTAACCCCCACTTTACAGCTGGGGATACTGAGGCAGACAGCAATTAAGTGAGTTGCCCAGGGTCACACAGCTAGTAAGTGTCTGAGGCTGGATTTGAACTCAGGTTTTCCTGACTCCAGGCCCAGTGTTCCAGACCTCAGGGAACCTCAGAGAACCAGAGAGCCCAAACCCCGCATTTTACAAATGAGGAAACATTTGTAAACACACAGAGAGGTTAACTGTCCAGGATGATGTGGTCAGCGTGCATCTGAGGTGGGTTTTGAACCCGAGTCCTCCTACCTCCATGTCCAGTGCCCTGCCCACTTTCCCATGCCATCCCTCAAGCTCACTCCATATCCCTGGCCTCCCCACTTGGGCCTGGGGGGTGGGCGTGGGCCAGCTACTGTACCTGCTGGCTCAGCACTCACCTGGAAGTATCCAAATTCCATCAAGGGGAAACTGTTTGTCTCTAGAACAATGTGAATTTCATCCTCAGAACCCTTGGGAGAGAGACAGGGAGACAGAGAGAAGCAGACTGAGCCAAACTCACAGTGAGCCCTCAGGCAGGCAAGCCATCACTGAGCATTTATTAAGCTCCAAGGGCATACCAGGCATGGTTCAAGTCATTGGGTTTACAAAAAGAAAAGCTACTTCCTCTATCCCAGGACAAGGTCCTGTCGATTGTGTGTCTGTGTATACACATGTACATATAGATTACATACATGTATATGATAAGCATTAATTAAGCACCTATTGTGTGCCAGGCTCTGTGCTAAAGTTCTGAGGATACAGAGAAAGGCAAAAGACAGACCCAAGGAGTTCACAGCCTAAGGGGGAGGGGAGACAACTGTGTGCAAATGGCTAGCCAGGAGATGCTGGACAGGACCAGAGCAGAGGGAAGGCCCCACATTAGGGGGATCAGGAAAAGCTTCTTGCAGAAGGTAGGATTCTCACCAGGGCTTGAAGCAAGCCAGGGGCAAGAGGAGGAGGCCTGAACTCCCTGGTGACTCGGGGAGGAGGCACTAGTATCTGAGGAAGTCGAGAAAGGCCTCCAAAAGGCCATGAGATGGAGGCTACAGGAGGCCGGGGCTAAGGGCAGGGCCAGCAGAGAGGAACCGGGAAGCTGGTGTGGCTAGAGCAGACCATGTCGGGGGTGGGGACGGAGTGGAAGGGGGGAATTCGCCAGCAAAGATAGGAGCTTTAAACGCCAAACAGGACGTAGGCTGAAGTCTGGCCTCAGACCCACACTGACCCTGTGACTTTAAGATGAGAAAGGGGGGAGTGGCTGCCCTGGTAGAGGGAGTCATCTGGGAGGTCCTCAGACCAATCCTGATGGGGCGGTGGGACCTAGACCCCAAAAAGCCCTGAGACTATGTCTAAGTAACCCAGCCTTGGCATTCTTGGGGTTCCAGCACCCCTAAACCATGTCCTCTTCAATCCTCGGTCCGGTTCCCACATCCTCTCCTAAAAGGAGCCCAAAGCCTCCTGCGCACCTCAATATGGAGAGGCTGGGACCAGGAGACCAATCGAGAGGGAGGCCAATGCATGGTCTAGTGGAGAGGGGAGGCTGTGGCCGGGAGGGAAGAGGGGTGGAGGGGGAGTGTGCCTGTGGATGTCCTAGCCGTGGATCTGGTGGAGTCTGGGCTACCTCTGGGCCCTTGACAAAAGGGAGGATGTCTGGGGAGGAAGATGAGCTCAGTCTTGTGTCAAGTTTGAGACCAAGTGAGAAGGACAAACGAGGAGAAACAGAGAGGAAGGCAGGAAGATGGGGCTCAAGTGGAGGCCAAGGCCCTCAGTGAGTCTGTAGTCTGCCCCACCCCACCTCCCGCAGGGTCCCGGGGGTGAGGAGTGGGGAGACGTGTTGAGAGCCCGGCCATCGGACCAACACCCATGCCAGCCCCTTGTAGTTCACAAACCCTTAAAGGTAGGAGGACTCCTGGAAAAGAGAGGAGAGGGAGCAGCAAGGAAGTGCCTTAGGGTTCCACTGTGACCTTAGGCAAATCACTTAATCTCAGTAAAATGCAGAGGCGAGGTAGCCAGCCTCTAGGGTTTCATGCCCAGCCTTAGCCCCACTGGCCTCCGTGGCCAGCCAGCCTCTCACTTCCTTCCTCCCTGGGTCACGCGGCCAGCAGGTTCCATGCTTTCCGGAACTCGGAGAGCAGGTTAAACTGCTGCTCCAATCTCCCAGAAGCTTTGTGTCCACACCCAGGTGGCCAGCCCCTCCCCAAGGCAGTCAGAGAGGCATGGCCCAGATGCCTGAGGTCTGTCATGCCCGGGATCCCCACCGGGGTTCTGTTCTGGGTCTCAGAGCAATCCTGGGCAAGGGCTGGGGCCCAGACCTCTCAGATCTCTCCTTCCCCACCCACTGACCTTGGCCTCCCCACCTCCATCATGCCTCTGTTCAGAAGCCTGTGGGGCCTCCCATGGCCACTTGGCTGGATGCTGGACTTGGCCTGCAAAGCTTTTCAGAGTCTAGACCAGCCTCGGATTCCTCCCACCATCCTCTGCCTTCCCTCCTACTCACGTGCCCTCAACAAAGGTGGAAAGCATCATGTCTGCCACCATCCCAGCTGGGTCCACAGGTTTATGTTCCGTGATCAAGTGGCCTTGACCACTGCCAGGCTGCCTTTGTACTCCTCCCTCATTGGATCCCTCTGCCACCCTCCCACAGTGGTTCTTCCCAGCCTCCCGGGGCTCCCTCTGCCCCTGTGACTCTCAGCTGAGACCCTGCCTCATATTCTACAGAAAAAATGACAGCCACTCGCCATGAGCACCCCCTCCCATCACTCAGGTGCCTTGTGACTCTGTCTCCTCCTTCCCCTCTGCCGCGATGAGGTGGGGCTGACCCCTCCATCCCCCTCTCTCACTAATCTTCAATCACTCGATGTCTGCTAGCTGCTTCCCTATGCCCTACAGACACACCACACGTCTCCCAATCTCAAAAAACCCTCATTTGATCCTTCCATCCCCACTAGTTACAGTCCCATATCTCTCCATTTTGTGGCTAAATTCCTCGAGAAGACATCTACACTGGTGTCTCCACTTCCTCTCCTCTCATTCCCTTCTTATCCCCTCACAATCTGGCTTCTGACCTCATCATGGAAAGTCACCCGTGACCTCTTAGTGGCCAAACCCAGTGGCTTTTTCTCTGTCACTCTCCTTGACTTCTGCAGCCTTGGACACCGTGGGCCACTCTAACACTCTCCCCTCTCTAGGTTTTTGGGACCCAGCACTCTCCTGGTTCTCCTTCTGCATCTCTGACCACTCCTCCTCTGTCTCATTTGCTGTATTTGCACTCAGGTTATCCTCATGAACTGTGGGTGCCCCCCAGGGCTCTGTGCTGGGCTCTCTTCTCTTCACCTTCTATATTATACTTGGTGATATCATCAGCTCCCATGGATTTAATTACCCTCTGATGATATCCTGCCTTAGCCTCGCTGCTGACCTCCAGGCTGGGATTTCCAGATGCTCGTTGGACATCTCATACTTGATGTCTCACAGACATTTTTTTTTTCCTGCGGGCAGTTGTGGCTAAGTGACTTGCCCAGGGTCACAGGGCTAGTAAATGTCTGAGGCTGGACTTGAACTCAGGTCCTTCCTGATTAGAGGGCCACTTGCTCTATTTACTGCACCACCTCGCCGCCCCACATCTGAAACTCAACATGTCCAAAACTGAACCAAACATTCAACTCTTCCAAATTTCCCTGTTATTGTCTTGTTTTTTTTTTGTTTTTTTTTGTTTTGTTTTTGGCAATTATGGTTAAGTGACTTGCCCAGGGTCACACAGTTAGTAAGTATCAAGTGTTTGGTCTAAGGCCGGATTTGAACTCAGGTCCCCCTGACTTCAGGGCTGGTGCTCTATCCACTGCACCACCTAGTTGTCCCTAAATTTCCCTATTATTGTCAAAGCTACCACTAAAACTTTTTGGCATCATCATTAATAATAATAATAGCATTCTTATAGCATCTATTATATGCCAAGCACTCTGATAAGCACATATATTATCTCCTTTGATCCTCACAACCACCCTGGGAGGTAGGTGCGATTATGATCCTCATTTAACAGTTGAGGTTAAGTGATTTGCCCAGGGTCAGTAAGTGTCTGAGGCTGAATTTGAACTCAGGTCTTCCAGACTCAAGGCCCAGTACTGGATCACCGAGCTGCCTGGCCTCCTTTCTTGCACTCCCCCATACATCGAATCTCTGCCCATCTTGTCTTTTCTATACTCACAAACTCCTTTCCTTGACCACACCAACCCTCATCACCTCACCCCCGGACTATGGCCAGAACTGCTGGGTGGACTGCCTGCCTCAGTCTCTCCTCCATCCTCCATTGAACCATCAAAGGCATTCTCCTAAAGGACAGGTCTGACAATGTCCCCATCCGCTCAGTGACCTCTGCTGGCTCCCTATGGCCTCCAGGATCAAATACAAAATCTTCTTTGGTGTTCAGAGCCCTTCCTAGCCTGCCCCTCCTTTGCCCGTACCTTTCCAGGCTTCTTACACCTTATTCCCCTCCAGGTACCTCACCCCCGCCCCAGCCGCTACACCACACCTCCTGGCTGTCCAAGACCCTCATCTCTCTCCTCTGGCCATCCCCCCGTGCCTGGAACACTCTCTCTTCTCATCTTCACCTCTTGGCCCTCCTGGCTTCCTTTAAGAGCCTGCTAAAAGCCCACCTTCTGGCTACAGGAAGCTTTCCCCACCCCTTCGTGGCTCACGTCCAGTTCATCTGTCTAGAACTTCTTTGCACACGGCTGTTTGCAGCTTGTCTCCTTTGCTAGACTGGAAGCTCCTTGCGGGAAGGCACTGTCTTCTACCTTTCTCGATCTCCCTGGAACTCAGTTCAGTACCTGGCACACAGTAGGCACTTAATACATGCTTGTTGACAGACTGATTCAAGGCCCAGATCAAACACCGTTGACTGCTCTGAGCCTCCTGTGAGCCTGCCCCTCACGGATCCGGTCTCCCCAGCCAGGAACGGCGGCACCTCAGCTCCTCACTGTCCTCTGCCACAGAACCCGAGAACACAGTGCAGCTCAGCCAAACGATGAGGGCCAACCACCGCAGAACCTAGTGGTGGTGGCATTCCATCTCTCTTCTTCCAAGGCAGGGAGGACGGCCCCCCTGAGGAGACGAGTCAAGAAGAAGGCTTCCTCTCTGACAGTTTCAGGCAGGCCCTTCTGGCCTGGGGAGCGGGGGACACTTCACCTGATCTTGGGCTTCCCAGCCCCCTTCAGGGTCAGGTAAGCAGCTCCACTGTGGGCGAAGTGAGACCATCGGACCCTTCGATCCCACCTCACAGGCAGCCAGGCTTAAACTCCCCTCACCAGACTCGCTCACGGGGGGCAGACAGAAAAGAGGTGAGTGACACATCGTCCAGAACTTGAGGTCCTAAGGCCTCTCTTCGCAGGGCAGCCTGGGGCAAGCAGTGAACTGCCCTCAGTGTAGTCCTAGGGGTCTAAAGTCCAAGGGCAGGGAGCAGGAGGCACCAGGCCAGGGAGGGCAGGCTCTGAGGTGGGTACCCAAGTGCTGAGGACACAGCACCCACATCACATTTCTGCCGAGGGCTGGGCCAGCCCATGAAGGCCTTGTGTGGGTGCTGGGTTTCACTTGCTCTCACCCTCATCCTGACCAGTTTCTGGGCCTCCGGGTTTGCAGGAAGAGGGAGAGTAGGTAGCAGACTCCGAGGAGCTTTAAGTCGAAGCTCCTCCCTTGGGCTACCCAGACAGCAGCTGCAGCCCTGCTCCACCTTTCTGGATGCTGCGGCAGCACGCAAATTCCCAGGGCTGAACCTTTGCAAAGTCCTGTAGCTTTCTCTTTCTAGTCTGTCCCCTCTGAGGCTGAAGTGAAGGCTATGGTCTCGTCATTCCCTCAGTCTCGAGGGTAGTTGGAGGAGAGGCATGGGGAAGTGGTCCGTCTGCCAGTGGGGTCCTGTCCTTTTGCCCCCTCTCTATTAGTCTCCCTCTGCTCTTGTCCAATTGGACCCAAGCTCCACCGGACTCCATCCAATTCATTATTTACAGTCCCTCGGGTGCTATTCTTCCATGAGGCCTCCCCTGACTGCCCTAACCTTGATGTTGCATGACCCAGACCCTGGAGCACTTCCATTCTTCCGGGCGCCAAACTCTGGCGCCAAGGGCAATTGCCCAGCCTTGTGGTTTCTCCCTTGACTGTGCCTGGAGACCCCAGAGGGTTCCTTGTTAAGGTCTGAGCTGCACCAGCGACTTCTGAGGGCCCTTCTACCTCGGAGTGACCCATTCCAGGATCACACAGCTGCCTGCTCCCAAGTCCTGCTCGCCCGTCTGCCTCCACTACCATCCTTCAGAACTCAGCCTGTTTTGTTCTACCTGTCCCTCCATTGGACTGTAAGCTTCCTGAGGGCAGGACCTTGCACGCAGGAGATAGAGTCACTGTTTCTGGAACAGAACTGATTGTTGCCTCCCCAGCCAGCGCATTTCTTTTTTTCTTTTTTTTTTTTTAGGCAATTGGGGTTATGTGACTTGCCCAGGGTCACACAGCTAGTAAGTGCCAAGTGTTTGGTCTGAGGTCAGATTTGAATTCTGAGGTCAGATTTGAACTCAGGTCCTGCTGACTTCAGGGCCAGTGCTCTATCCACTGCGTCACCTAGCTGCCCCTAGCTAGCACATTTCAGGAGCTGATGAGATGCAGTGGCGGCTGCTCCTCTGCGCCATTCCCCTCCATTCCAGCCCAGGCTTGAGCTGGCCCCAGGGAGAAGCGGTGGGGACACGCTGAATGCCATGGCTCTTCCCCTCTGGTAGCCCATGACAGTTTATAGACTAGAGGAAGGGGCCCGGCCACAAGTACAATAATGGCGATGCTACTCTGACAACCAGAAGATGACTGTGTCTAGGTCATTTCTATAGCCCTTCAAAGAATGGCATTTGGTCCTCACCCCAATCCTGGGAAGGAGGGGCTGTTATAATCCCTAGTTTACAAATGAGGAAACTGAGGCAGACAGAGGTGAAGTGACTTGTTCAGGGTCACACAGCTAGGTAAGCATCCCTGGCTGGATTTGAACTCAGGTCTTCCTGACTCCAGGCCCAGTGTTCTATCCACTGCATGTTTAGAGATGAGAAAAGTGAGGCCCAGAGTGTCATTTACTCAAGGTGAGCCCGGATTTCTAGACTCCCAGTAGGAAATGGCCCTCTTCCCTCAGGCAGTAATTGTCTGTCTGGACTACAGAGGATTCTGTTTGTTTTCTGGTCTGCCCAGTGCAGGAGCACAAGCCCACTCTGTCCTCATCCCCAGGGCCCTGGGGCGCAGGGAATCAGCATCAGCAGCATGAGCAGAGGCAGAGGGATAAAGGGGGTAACCCCAGCCTCATGGCTGCCGCCCGTTGGTCTTAGGGGAGGGCTACCTTCCCATCCTACCTCTCCCCGAGCCAGGCCCAGACCCACACCTGAATTGGTTTAGGGAAAGAGGACTGACTTCCAGGGATGGGAGGCGGCAGGGGGTGGAGCTCACCTGCATGATGGAGAACAGACTTGGGCTCTGGCTCTCTCTCCCTTCCGGTTCTGGCTCCTGCTCCCAAGGCGCACACTTCGGGGGGTCGGCCTCAGGTGCAGGACAGTGGGCTTCACCGGGTGCTGGGCCCCCGGGCCAAACTGCCTGCTTACCTGTCCCAGGTGCACTCTGACTCCTCAGCTCTGACTTCCGCCTGAGACTCACCCCTCCCTTCTAGGAATACCGGCAGCCCTGGGCTGAAGGGGAGGGGCAGGGAGGAAGGGGAGCGGCCAGCTCCCCAGGCCCCCTACACACTGGGCTGGGCTGTTGAGGGCCGGGGGCGGTGGGACCACACCCTGGGAAAGCCTGGGTCCTAGGTCAGGAATGTGCTTGCTCCGGGGGGGGGGCAGAATGAGTATCCTCATCCTTGGGAGGTCTCTCCCATGCCTGCCTGAGGACTGAGGAGACCCTCTGCTAAGACAGACAGGTCAAGAATGGTCACTTTCAGGGCAGCTAGGTGGAGCAGTGGATAAAGCACCAGCCCTGAAGTCAGGAGGACCTGAGTTCAAATACGGCCTCAGACCAAACACTTGACACTTACTAGCTGTGTGACCCTAGGCAAGTCACTTAACCCCAACCGCCTTAAAAAAAAGAAAAAAGAATGGTCACTCTCCCAGATTCTTCCTGCCCCTCTAGGGAATGAATTAAAATGCTGTTTCCCAAGTGGGGGCCAGTTGGCCCCCATGTGTGGAAGGCACTCCCTCCTTCCCTCTGCTCTGGAGTGCTCCCAGGTCCTTCAAAGCACAGCTCAGATGCCCCCCTCTGACGGGAGGCCTCCTGGAGGGCCTTGGTATCACCAGGGCCTGGTGGAGAGTAGGTCTTTTAAGGATCAGCCTCCCTGCTCACCATGGGCTTAGGCTTTGGCAGTGGAGGTTTGTCCTTGGGGCTCCTCCCAGGCCACCAGGAGGACCTGCGACCTGGAAGGAATTGGGGCTAGATTAGGGTTGGGCTTTCACCAAAACCAGCCACAGGGTCTTGTGGGCCTTGGGCTGTGGCAGTTTCCCAACTGGGGCGCCAAATGCTCAATGCGTGGCCTAAGTCAGCCTTCATTCTCAGTCGAGCCAGCCCAGGCTGGGAGGACTAGTCGAGATGGTGATCACCCCTGGACAAAAGCAGGTGGATCTTTTGGGAATGGGGGAGGGGAAGGTGGGACTAGATCGCCTTTGGCGATCTGAGGTCACAAGACCAACCAGAGGCAGAAAGAGGAACCATTCCCTGTTCAGGCCCAGTGCTCAGAAGCGACCCCGGAGACCTGCTGCCCAGGAGTTGTGTAACCCTGGATGTCCTCATGGCAAATAGAAATCTGAGACTCGAGTTCAAATCCTAACTCAGACCCTAGCTGTGTGACCCTAAGCAAATTGTGGTGGTGGCTGTGCAGTCGTTTTAGTCACGATCCTCCCGACTCATTCAGGGCTTTCTTGGCAGAAATACTGGAGTAGTTTGCCACTCACTTCTCTGGCTCATTTTACAGATGAGGAAACTGAAGCAAGCAGAGTGAAGTGACTTGCCTAGGGTCACACAGTTACTAAGTGTCTGAGGCTGGATTTGAACTCAGGAAGATGAGTCTTCCAGGTCAGGTTCCCCATCTAGTCCCCACCTAGCTGCCCTCTAAACAAATCACTTTACCTCATTTTCCTCATCCATAATGTGGGAAGAATAATAGCCCCTTCCTCCCAGAGTCATTGTAAGGATGAAATGAGGTAATAATTGTCCAGCTCTTAGGACAGTGCCTGGCATTGGTAAATGCTATTGAAATGTGCACTATTATTATCTCTCTGGGCCTCAGTTTCCCTATCTACAAAAGGGGGAGATTAGACAATCTGGCTCCATCATGGCACCCTTCTGTGGTGGGGGATGGTTTCCTGGAAGGGTTCTAGTCTCTGTTTCCCAAGGTTGTCTCTCAGCCCAGCCTGAGGGGCTCCTGACCTGCGCTGTCTGCGTGGCTGGGTCTGTGGGTCGATGCCAAGGTTGGGGAAGGGCTCCTCGGGGCAAAGAGGCTCTGAGATGTTTTGGATTGCCTCCCCAGGCCACTGATGCCTTTCTTTCCCTGGGGGTTGGAATATGCTTAGCCCAGGAGCCACAGCCCAAGGCCCACAAGACCCTGTGGCTGGTTTTGGTGAAAGCCCGACCCTAATCTAGCCCCAATTCCTTCCAGGTCGCAGGTCCTCCTGGTGGCCTGGGAGGAGCCCCAAGGACAAACCTCCACTGCCAAAGCCTAAGCCCATGGTGAGCAGGGAGGCTGATCCTTAAAAGACCTACTCTCCACCAGGCCCTGGTGATACCAAGGCCCTCCAGGAGGCCTCCCGTCAGAGGGGGGCATCTGAGCTGTGCTTTGAAGGACCTGGGAGCACTCCAGAGCAGAGGGAAGGAGGGAGCGCCTTCCACACATGGGGGTCGTCTGGTGCAAAGGACAGAGAGAGGATGTCATGCATGGGAAATTGCCAGCAGACCAGTTTGACTGGAATGTAGAGTCTGGGAATAGAACGATATGGATAAGATTGGAAAGGTGGGTGAAATCAGCCTGGGGAGGACTTCAAATGCCGGGCTGACGAGGCGGGAAGGAGGTGCCAATGATTTCTGAGTGAAGTGGGAGGCAGGGATGGGAGCAGATGTGTTTTAGGGATGTCAGGGGGGCCTTTGAGATGTGCCAGGGTGGTCCCTAAGCCAGAACAATAAATAAACCAGGGGACCCCTCCCCCTGCCCAGTCTCCTCCTGGAAAGCTCTGTCCTTGGCTAGCCCCAGGTCCTTGCCTGTTGCCCTTTCCAGGCTCTCCATGCATGTCATAGATGGAAAGCTAACAAGATACACCCCAGGGATACCCAGCTGCCTTCCTGGTCAGGACCTATAGCTGAGGTTGCCCCACCCACAGGCTCCAGAGGACTTGGCCAAAGCTCATGGGCCAGGTGCAGGGGCCCCCAGTTGAGCCCCATCCTCTTCCTACTGTGGCCTGAAGACCGTCCTGACCCTCCAAGGTAGAGTTCAGCCCTTTGCTGCACCCCAACCAGACATCTATACACACCCCCCACTCAACAGGAGTGGGTGGCTATAGTAAGCCATAAGAACCAGCTGGCACTGGGCTAGCCTAACCCTTGAGAGCCCAGGATCCTCTCCATGCTAGAAGGGGAGAGGATGCTCATGGTGCTTTGTGAGTCCCCAGTAAACATTTGTGGGGTGCACAGACATGCAGGAGTTTAAACAGAGCCATCAGGACCAGGGCACACCCACTCCGTGTAGGGATTTATTTAGAAAGACAAATGCCCCTCTTCAGGTCTCTACGGGAGCCTGTGATTTCCCTCTTTTGGAGAGCAGAAAGAGGCCATGTCCAGCCAACCACTGCTTGGTTCCCTGCCTTGCAGGGGTGCTTCAGCACACCACAATCAGATCTCTCTAGTCCTCAACAGATATTTGCCCACTAAGGGGAGAATGCTCTTGAGATGGAAGATAAAAGCAAATTCCCTGGCTGTTCAGGATGGGAAGTGTCCTGCTGAGCCCAGGAGGGGCTTTATCCTTTACCTTTTTACCTTTATCTTTACCTGATCCTTTACCTTCCCTGACGCCACAAAAGACACTCAGCCAGCCAACAGTTAAACTACTAGGTGAAGGGAACTCGAAGACCATGCAGGGAGAAGAGATCTCAGCTCCCGGCTCTCTAATTCTGAGCACCAGATCTCAGACTGCGCTGTCCAGCAAATCACTCAGATAAGTGATGGTGGTAAAAGCCCTGGGAAGGTTGATGGGTCCTGGGAAGGAAGGGGTGAAGGGGTGGCCTCGTCCGCCAGCCTGTGCCTCGGCCACATGTTCGAAGTATGCACTTTGCCTCATCTCTGCTTCTCCTCTCCCCTCCCTCCGCTAGTTTCTCCACCAGTCCCGAGTTCCCCTTCCCTGTGGGTCAGCAGCAGCAGAGGCTGAGGTCTCTCAGCCACTCAGGAGTCATCTCCCAACATGTAGGCAGCATCACAGGGTGGTCTCTCAGGGGACTGCCCAACCCAGCTGGGCTTGGGGTTAGAGGCAAACTAATCTTTTGTGCAGAAAGGCAAGGTCAGTTCTGGACTTGCTCTCGACCAGAACCTGACTCCACTGGAGGGTACTCTGCCCATTGGGCTGCTCCCAACAGGGAGCCTGGTGTGAGCCTTGGTAGAGGGACCATCCCCTACAGACCCTCACTGGGCTGAGAGTCCATGCCCTTAATAAATGCTAATTGACTTGACGCGTTGGTATGAGATCCCCTGAGGTAAGGCTAGGACGAGGAGGGGGTCCCCTGCCCAGCTCTGGAAGATCTTCAGTCTCAGCCTTGTCAGAGGGCCCCCTTCCTTGGCCAGGGGTGGTCCTCGGGCAGCCCAGAGAGGAAGAGTGTGTGAGAGGGAGGGAAAGAGGGTAAAACTCTGTGACCAGCAGGCCAGCAGGCCAGCAGCCCCTAAAAGGCCAGGAGAGAGATGAGGTTTCAGAGGTCCCAGTCCTGATGGAGTTGGCAGCTGGGCTGGGGAAGACCCAAGGTTGACCCCACACAAGCCCGGGCATCTCCATCCCCAGGGCTTTTTGTGGCCTCAGAGCACTGCATCCAAGGCTAGCCCAGTGGAGTTACCTCCAGGAGGGGGCTACTCATTGTTCAGGAAAGTGAGAGCAGTGATGGGGCCCTCAGTTATCCAGAATCTGTGAAAGGGGACGTTGTCCCCCCTTTTCTGCCTCTGCCTCCATACCTGAGCTCAAAGGCAGCCTCCCACAAGAAGCTTCTCCACATGGGCGTCCCCAGCTGTACCTTTGCTTCTCTATGAACATGTCTCTGGACCCCCAACAGCAAGTCAGCTCTTTGAGGGCAGTGTGGCACACAGTAGGTGCTTGTTGAACAAATGAATGAATCCGACCAGGGGCCACTGGTGGCACAGTGAATAGAGTGCTGGGTCTGGAGTCAGGAAGACCTAGGTACAAAACCAGCCTCAGATACTTACTAGCTGTGTGACCCTGGGCAAGTCACTTCACTGCTGTCTGCCTCAGTTTCCCCAATTGTACAATGGGGGCAATATCAGCACTTATCTCATGGGGTTGTTGTGAGGACCAAATAAGATCATATTTGTAAAGCACTTAACCAGTGCCTGGCACATAGTAGGTTTTTTATTAATTTATTTTGATTTAT